GTTATCCCCACAATTCCTCAATTAGGAATACATATGTAATCTAATAATGTTGCACCTACAAGTTTTGAACTTTCCATTTCAAGTTCACAAGCATTAAATTTAACCTCCCCCCCGCCCCCACATTCTTGGGTTATACTTGAACTTAGAATTCAGCAACTCTTTTATAGTTCTATTCATTTATCTCTTAGATTATAGCCATATCGAGTGTTTCGTGGAAGTCTAAGTACTTTCAAAGTAGTAGTCGTCAACTTGCATATAACGTACTTCAATCTAATTAATTTTGATCATCCAAATTAATTTAAGGCCATCATATGGACCAACAATGCTTTCAAAACATATACCAATTTAATTGGTTTCATGATTGAAGTTAAATTCAACAATAAAGAGGGCTAAGCATTGCAAGATATGAAACTTATGACATTTGTGACGTTTCACATGATACTTTCATTTCATGTCAAATAATAAGGTACATATTCACCTTATTCATCATATTCAAACTTGAACGAACGAATCAACCATATGTCGAAAAGTTGTGTTCTTCAAGAGACACAACCCTATAAAAGGACACACCTCTTGAATTAATCTCTATGAAGAGACACACCCATTAAAAAATAATCATACTAAAAATCATGATTATTTATATGAAACGACGCACATTTTCATCATGCACCTTTTCATCTAAATTGATTGTGGAATATTTTAAATAATTAAGTTGTTTAATTCTCATAACTAAATAATTATATCCACTTAAATCATCTCACTTAATTCCATATGATGAAATGAGGCTATCAACATTAATCAAAGTTAGTATAATTTCAACAAGATATGAAAATTTAACCAATTAGACCATTTTAACCAAAGTCTATCCAAATTCCAAATGCTTATATGGATTCATCAAATGAATTCACTAATCCGCTTCCCATGATTATTATATAGATACCCAACAGAGTTGCCTACTTAAAATAAATGCATACTCATGCCTTTACCGTTATGGGCATATTTATCAGTTAAAATATGCCTTCTCATGCAAGTAATATATTCAAACGCATAATGATTTGCCATAGCGAGAGAACAAAAGTTATTGGGATGACATACGTATAAATTAAAAGTAAGGAATTCTGCACAAACTATAAATTTCAGCATTACTAGATTTTGACAAAGCCAATGTCAACATACTTTGAACAATTAAAATTATCCCAACATGCATCTTTCGCAAGTTTAGTAAACTTATTTCTTGATAACTTTGAATTGAGGCAGTTTAAACACGAAGGAACGCAATTGTTAGCATATAAAATTCACAATGTTCATGTGCAATTTGACTTTACAAATCAGTTTACATTTATATACTATCTGGACAGATATTTCATGCTACACAATTCAAACGTGTCACACCATTTCAGAAATTAAAAACTGTTTTTAATTTGAAAAAAATACATTTTTCCATATAGCATGCATACTATTTGTTTACAAACGGTTAACAAGATTTTATCAACCTTCCCAATGAAAATTCCTTAGGCAACTTCTGACACAAATTATCTTTTAATATAGATACACTTTGAATTAAAAGAATGCCAACAAATAAAACTCATAGATGAGACTACCAACAAATACAATACACAAACATGTATGCACCGGTTCATGAATATTATATGTATTATGAATTTCACAACTAATTATCTTATTATCTGGTGCACCAATTTGAGATTTTCCACTCTAATATCTGAATATTAGAATTTATTCTAATGGGTCAAAACCAGAATCTACATTATATGGTGCAGGATTGAATAATATCATATTGTTCATCCACAAACCAGCTTGAAATATATTTTAATGAATTCAACATATAAATGAATGATTCCAAGTTATAGAATCACTATCGATTATGTTATAATATACAGATTCATTATACATGAATTTCTCTAACTAAAATTTTGTAATAAAACACATTTACCAGAATCATGATAAGTCAAAATTCCGTCTTATGATTTTATTCATGTAGTATCTTGATTTCGATTGCAAATAAAATATAATATGTTTAAGAAAATTCATCTTATGATTGTTGGGGAATACACCGATTAAGTGCATATTATATTCACAAAAAATATATCGTTTATGTTCACGAAATCGAAACAAGGTTTCGATTTATCGAAATGGAATTTGAGAAACTAACGAATGATTATCGAATCTGACCATTTCCATTCTTAAATTAAAACATGTGATTCTTCACATCGAACATTGCATAAACCATATAAATAAAATTAATCATTTTCTAAAATCAAGTATAAATGAAATCAGAAAAAATTAGATGTAAGTGATGCGATTGGCCGTGGCGAGTATAACTCTTTCCTTAAGATGAATTTGCCCCGCATCGGTGCTAACGATTTTTCGACAATCATCTCCCAAGATACAACGACCACGTCAAGTCATAGGAGCACTCCAAATGACTTCGACCAGCGAACTTGAGCGAAATTCTCTCTCTACCAAGAAAATGCATGAAAATGCTATGGAATTAGAAATGAGAGAATTGCAAGCGGAGAATGAATGCTCAATGTAATTGGTGTACCCAAAATCATATCCATAGGGTTCTATTTATAGATGTAGAAAGGGTGCAAATGAAGTAGTGTGGACTAAAACATGCATCATTTCGAAAAGTTGCAACACTTGGCCAAAACCTGCATCCTTTCAAAAATTTGCAACACTTCATTTCTTCCAAATTTGGTCCTCAATTTCTCATTCATCCGGAATTGATTTCGAGATTTCAAATATACCACGAAGATCTACTCGACAAGTAGAATAAGTTGATCTATTTACTTTTGTAATTTGACAATCGGATCAAGTCCGAATACTTGGTCGAACTTGACACATAGTCACACATTTTCATTTTTCACTTTTACACACATTTTCATTTTTCAATTTTTGGTTAATTATTTGAACCAATTCCTACAATATTTTATAAAGACCAAAATATGTACTAATGGCGATCGGTGAAGAAGCTACTAAGAATAAAATAAATTTTTGATTGAATATTCTTTCTGTAATTTATTTCAAAAAAAATCTAAAACTAATAACTAAAAATTAATTTAATGAATTCGATCGAATTGATAATAATTTTGTTGATAAATAAGTAAAAATAAGACAAATAGTATCAAGGTAAAAAATAAGCAGGTGGTAACAAAACAAAGATTGGAAGAATAGAAGCTTTGTTCAATTTGACATTTAAAAGATTTTTATAAACTATTTTAAGTGAGAATAATTTTTTTTGGAACTTAGCTTTTGTTTTGGTGGGGTTAAAATCAAATTTTTAGTAAATTTTGATGAAATATGTAGTTAAAAAATTTTAAATTATATAAAATATGTGGTTAAAATTTGTTGTTTACTTTAACTTAGACTAAAACTTGAATTTTAATTTCTACCAAACAAGGACTTAATGATTTTTTATTTTTTACTTTTACAGAGTTAGAATAAGTGAAAGTCTGTCATAAACTTTCGAGTGTATTCAATATAGAATGAAAGAATTTTAAAATTTGTAAAAGTTTAGAACTATTTCAACAAAGACTTTTTAAATCTTCATAAAAGCCTTTTGGTGCATTCAATCCAATGTTCCAAAAAATGTAGGGCGTGGTTAGACATGTAGGCCAAACTTCAAGCTAGGCGAAGCCTAGGCATAAAAAAGTTTTTTATTTTAATATTATTTTAAATTTTTTAATCAATTTAAAAATCATTTAATAATTAAAAATAATACATGCCAAACATTTAAATCTATAAAAGTATTGGAAAAATGGAAAAGAAAAAAAGAAGCGTGCCTAGGCATAAAAAAAAAAAAAAAAAAAAAACACACACACACACACACAGAGGCCCGAAGCGTGGCGTTTTGTCCACCATTTGTGCTTAGACGCGCTTTTAGAACATTGATTCATTTACAACAATACAAGAAGATAGAAACTTTTAGTTAAATAGAAATTATTTGTAACTCATTCTGAAAATGACGTTTATTTTCAAATCATATGATTCTCTGACCCTAACGTTCGGAGACGACTCACGCTATAGATAAGTGAGACGGTTGATAATCACATTGGGGGGCTCTGGAATCAAGTGTGGGGAGTTCGATTCTTGGTTGGAGCAGCCAAGTGATGTAATAACCAGAGGAAGGGTTGGAGCAGCTTGGTGATGTAATAACCATGGAGGAGGGTCCCTTTGGTGAAGGAGTAAAAGTCATGTAGGAACCTGGGAACCAATAAGGGCACAACCTGCGATTTACCTCCACTAGTCACTGAGGGGCCGGGGGCTAGAGGTCCGGGATTTAGTCCGGCTAAGCTGGGACACGGGTTAAAAAAAAAAAAAAAAAAAAAAAGTGAGACGGTTGATAGTTGTCTAAGGCTCCCATTTTCACAAGGTCCCTAAATTATATTGATACTAACAATGAAATTCCGATATGAACTTTATTGTATCAACGAACATCGAGAATAAAAATCTAAAATGCAACACTTATGTCATGAATTAAATTAAATAAAATATCGATTAAAGCCCTACTTACATTACAACAAAATATTATATTTTATTATTCTTTTGTACTCTAATAATTACGTAGCACGTGCAATTCATAAATAACTATAATACCAAACAATTAATTTATAATATTTTTTTATTGACAACCAAACAAGTCAACTACTTTTTGAAAACAATTACCTTTGAAAAATAAAAACCCATATGAACTGCCTCCACACAAAAGTAGAAGGTAAGGGTTTAAATGCTAATAACTAAAAAATGACAACTCACTTAAATCGACTTTATAAGTTGGGGGACCTCTACTGCAACTTCCGTAACAAATTTCCAGTGATTTTGGCCTATAATATCTTCCAAACGTGGGCCTACCGTCGAACGGATAAAGCAAAGCAAAGCAAAGGGCAAACAATCACAATTATTCAAATGGGACCCACTTACACTGGTCCTTATCCGTCATTTTTTTTCCAGAGCGGCCGAATTCCGAACCTAGAATATCAGTACGTGGCACTTATCCGTTTTGGTTAGGAGTCTGCCTTAGTAGCTGAGTCCCACTTGAACAACTTCGCTTCGTGTACGTTTCTCCTATCTTCATCTCTAAAACACACAGAAAGAGCTAGATGGTTTAGATGATAATGGAATTAAGGTCTGGTTTTCATCTTTTATATTGTAAATTCTATTAAAATTATATCTGTATCGGTTAAAAGGTTGTTATTTGTTGCTTTAATTGTCTGTTTTATATTTCTTTTTTCTCCGAATGATGATTTTTTAGACAGAATATATAAACGAAAGTGGGATGTAGCGGTTATTTGTTTAATTTTATCTTGATTTTCATTAATTTATGGCGTTCTGTGTAAAATATGTAAAAGGTTTTTGGATATACACGATGCAATTTTTTAATTTTAATTTTATTATTATTATTATTATTATTATTATTATTATTTGTGGTTTGATCACCTGGAGAACAAGTGGTTCACTTGATGGAAAATTTTCAGTGGCTTTAAGTTCAACTCAAGGAGGTTTTACCTTTTGGGGAACAGATTTATGCAAATTCGAAGGGTGAAATTTAGAATTTTTGCAACTTAACTAAAGAAATGTTCTATAAGAATTTCATTTTTGAAGAAAGATGACCAGGAACATGAACTGAATAATTGTACTTTTTCTACTTGTATTCTAGATTTCACATTAGGATAATGTTATTGTTGAGCCATAGACATTCACTTCTGATTTTTGTTTATTTGCAGTTATAGTGTTGATTATATGAATACTGCTTTATTTTAGTTGTATTAAAAGTAGTATCAAATTGTAAATATCTGTCTTGTTATCCACTATCAATGTGTTGGGGGGTCTGGCGAAGGCCCCTTGTCTTGCTATAATTTGAAACACTGGTTGGATAATTGATGCCGATGGGTCAGGAGAATTTTTAGCATCAGATAATATTAAATTAAAAAAAGAAGTTAAAATCATGTTCGTTATTTGATTCAATCCTGTCTACTATCGGTCACCAAACACACAAGGAATTGATTGTGCCATTAATGATATTTGATCTGATCTACAATTTGTCTAATTATGTTTCACATCACAGATTATGCGAGTGTTGCAATTCATGGCGCATATGCATAAATGTATCCTTGTATTCAAATCCTGAATGACTAATATTACTATGTGACGTTTAATATGAATATGCACACATGCAAAGTACATTTACATCTTGGTTGAAAATGGGGCATACGTAATTGCTATTAATACGTGTTATATCATGCTTTATTTCGCATTAATTCTGAATGCTTGCATTTTGACTCTTGTATCAAAATGCTAACACTTATAACACTGCAGGATCAGAAAGAACAGGTCTATAAGAATAAGCATGCCCCTTTCCAATTCAGGATGTAAAAAGTGCTCTTCTTTTTTGCTTGCTTATGAAAAACCCTGGAATCAGGAGGATGAGTTAGAGCTGAAAATTAATCGAGAACTACAAAACCCAACAACCATTCTTGCCTAAAAATCCAGAATCATCAATTAATTCCAAGAAATGACCAAAAAACTGAAACTTGGAGACCCAGCAGATGGAAACTGAAACAGCTTAGTAGTATGTGATTAAATTTTCATGAATTAACGGAATAACACAAAACAAACACAGTTCTGAATTATATTTTTTCTATAAAAGCAACAGATAAAGATCGAAGAAAAAGAAAGAGGGGGCTGATTTGAAATGAACAGTAAATGATAGATGCAATAAGAATTCAGAAAGGTATAGAAGAAATAGGGAATTGAGGTTGCAAAAGAGCAGCTGGTAAAACTTTATTATTGTTGGGGACCTTAGGAATGGAGTAAGGGACACCTGCTCTTCCTCTTTCCCCACAAGGGGGATTGATTGAGCTTGCCGGGGGGGGAGGGGTGTGTGTGTAGTGCCTTCCACTTAGATAAGGACACCTCTCTTAAAAAGGAATTCTTGAAAAGTACCGAAGAAGGATATTTCCTAAAATTGGCTCTTAAGGCAAGTAATTCTACACTTAAGGTGGAATACTTGTCGATGTTGCTAAGCATAAATAACTCCTTTTAACACTTAATATGAATATACGCACACATACAGTACACTTACACGCTTATTGATAATGTTGCATATGTAATAGCCATTAGTTTGTGTTATATAATGCTTCATTTGTCATTAATTTTGAATGCGGTGTTTTGACTCTTATATCAAATCCCAGGCATTACTAAGTTAAGTAATATTATGATGCTAAACTGCTATCTTGATAGCCTTAAAGGAAATTTTTAGTTCAAATGCATAAAGGGCTATTTTATATTTTAGTGTCAAATCAACTAATCTAAAAGTTAAGTTTTCAAAGAATATACACATTTATTTATATAAATCTTGTTTTCATCATGTCTCCTCATGTGCAAGCCGGATTAATTTTTCTTCAAAGCCTGAAATATGCACACTTCCATAAATAGGGGGCAGTGATTTGAACTAATGACCTTTACTTCTTAAATCATATTGAAACACCTTGTCTAATAGACAAGGCACAGACTTATTTATTTAAATTATATCTTCAACATTTAGAACATCATAGCTAAAGCCTGTGATATTGGTTCTTTTAGTTTTGCAGGATGCTGTTGAGTGTTTGTCTCTGACATTGGGTCACTCCGCTTGTTCTCTACAGCTTCTCTGACGTAAGTAGATCACATCATATTACTTAATGGGGGGAGCTTGTTCCAGGAAGCGAGACCAACTGGATAATGGGGATAACCTAAATGGAAGAGTTTCGAGAAGATTTTGTAAAAGTGGAAGCTCTAAATGGTTGGGGACTTCATTTACTAGAGCATCTATGGATGTTATTCAAGGAAATCGAAGATGTCCATCTCTCATGGAATTGTGTATTTATAAGATTCGTGAAGTATGTGCAACTCTCTCATTCTGTACATGTCTGTCTAAATATAGGTTTTCTGAATGAAAAGGGCATCTTTTTTCTATATCTTGACTCAGCTTTCTTGGTTATTTTGTTGAAGGACATAAACAAATACAGTACCTTGTCTATGTTGCCAAGGGATCTAAGTCAGCAAATTTTCGATGACCTGGTTTATTCCCAGTGTCTAACTGATTCTATACTAGAAAATTTTCGAGATTGTGCTCTTCAGGTATCTCTCGTACGTGGATAGCCTGCATAGTTTAAGTATTTAAATTGTTTCAGGCTCATAATGACCTTTAGTGTTTGCAGGATCTTAATTTTGGAGAATACCCAGGATGTAATGACAATTGGATGGATGTCATCTCTTCGCAGGGTTCATCTTTGCTCTCTGTAGATCTTTCTGGTTCTGATGTTACTGATTCTGGATTGTTTCATCTCAAACATTGCAAGAACCTTCAAGCGTTGAATTTAAATTATTGTGACCTGATTTCGGACCATGGCCTGGAACAGATCAGTGGTAGAATCTTCTTCTCCACCTCCTATGATGTGCTATTTAATCTCATAAATGCACCTTTTCAGCAGTGCGATAAATGTGTTCTCTCGAAAACTAAAGCTAAATAATTCGTTTTCCATTCCGTTTGTCTCTGTATATAAGCGTCCCTCGGTTGGGCATGCGTGTTTGTGATTCGTGCAATTGACACCAGGTATGCATGCTCCTGTGTGCTATTGAGTGAAAAAAGAGAGTTTTCAAATCAGCCAAGGAAAATAAGCTCTGCCTTGTATTCTGCGGAAAATATGCTGTTCCTAGGGAGAAGGGAGAACTTCGAATTGAGAATACAGTCATGTGAGTGGAGAAAAAACCATAGCTAGAGTATCCACCTTCACTCAGATTGGGAGGGAATGATTTTTAAGTGTACCTGTGAAGAAAAATGCTTCTATGGAGTTCGCCTTGTATTTTTTCTCATTTTGACATTTATATAGAGATATTTACTGCTGTGCCGGTTATATTCTGGGTTAACTATCCTCAGATAATTTGTTTTCCCTGTGATAAGTTTGTATTTAATTTGTATTACTCTACTATTCATTTGTAAACGTTTTTGTTTGAATGGCTTTGATTCATGTTAGGCTGTTTGCTTTAGTAATAGCAGTATGTGCTACATTCTAAATTATCAATTGTTTTTTAACTTTTAATTCTGCTGCAAACCTTCAAGTTTTATATAATATCATTAGTTGGAGCTCATTATCTTTGACAAGTTTTATTTTCTATTCAAACCCTAATACCCAGTGCCTAATGCATGTGGTTCGATTCAACTTTCAGGTTTATCAAACCTCACAACGTTATGTTTCAGAAGAAACAACGTAATCACTGCTCAAGGAATGAGTTCCTTATCTGGCCTAGTGAACTTGGTAAAGTTGGACTTGGAGAGATGTCCAAAGATCCATGGAGGGCTTGTTCACCTTAATGGTAGGTTCTTTCCATTTAAGCTCTTGTGGAGCAGTAAATTTTGCCTTTTATGTTGATCTTAAGTTCATTGATAACTTGGAAAAGAGGCTTCTTTAATATGGTGGTGGTAGATGTCATTTACAGAACCTCTTCGTTGTATTATCTGATGGTTTATTTATGGACAGCTTTGAGTGAACAAAGATTGGCTGAAGGGATTGCTACTAGAATTCTCGTTCTTTCCCACATGGGGTTGGACAGGACATTTTATTCCTTATCAAACTCATTTGTTGGCAGCTCATTCACATACGTTGATGTGTGGGTAGATATCAAGATGATTCATTTTTTAGAAAGAGTCACTAGGATGGAGATGTGAGAGTTGGTACTAAATATGACAATCTTACACGATCTGAATGGCTCTTCACAAATTAGGGAAAATGGATATAGTATGGAAAAAATATACTGTGAAATATGTAATTTTGATCTAAAGAAAGAAGACATTCTTATCCATCGAACAAGAAATGCAAAGTAATATCTGAATGAAATTCATAATGCAACACTTGTGTTTACAAGCTGTTTACTTATGTCATGTATTTGAATGGTATGTTTCGATGCTTATTAGAATTTTACCTCTGAGAAAAGGTGTAACCCGTTTTCCACAGTTATACGTAAAAAAATCGTAAGATGAAGACATGGATTACTTCTTAATATGATTGCTCTTGAGATAACATTTAAATAAACCCACCCTCTGGTTTCTGCTTGCACACAATAAATGAACTAAGCTCGATGAAACAAAGAAACTTGTAAACACGAGAGAAGGGAAAAATGGGAAGACTGTGAATTAAAGAAAAACATCCAGCAGATTTTGTCAAAATTACTCGCGTTTCTTTTAGCTCAATAACATGGTATGTAATTTTTGGTCATACAATCATGATTGTCGTCAGAGTGTAAAAATCACTGTGTTTTAATATCTTATTTCGTATTTGGCAGGCCTAGTGAAGCTTGAGTCTCTTAACATCAATTGTTGCAGTTGCATCGCTGATGCCGATATGAAGCATCTTTCGGGTAACTTCTATCTTCCTTTCCTACTTAGTGTTCCCCTTCAGCGTTCAGGTAAGTAGTAGAAATATATACTAAAAATGGGATATCCTGCCTTCATTCTACATTTGGTTCTAGATATTATAGTAATTTGAATGTCCGATTGAACATGTTATTCTTGATTTTCTAGAAAATTCACCGGCTTTCATTTTGTAGAGACTTCATTTCTGATTATTTGATGTGATTCTTCTGCACTTGATTCTTCCTTTTTCCAAAAGAGTCATTCCTTCCTATCCCAATTAAAGTTAATGGAGCATTATCGGTAGCATTTTTTATGTCTAGTATGCTTATTACAACATTTCCTAGTTGGTGAGCATTCTTCTTCTGTATTAAGCTTGAAGAAGTTCTTACATTACGCCTGGTCACAATTGATATCGGTTTCTGATCCAAGTGCATGCAAAGATGGCCTGTCCTCCCATTTAGGGGCCCTGAGACCACTGGGGGTTAGGGACTTGGGTTACAATGAGCTATTGAATTTGGTAATGTGGTTGTCATGAATATAGTATCACTACGTGTGCTTTTATATGTTGACAATTCATTTCTCTTCGACAGGACTTTCAAACTTGAAATCATTACAAATTGCATTCAGCAAGGTTACTGATTATGGCATCACCTATCTGAAAGGTAATTCATTTCAGTGTTATATATTATTTCAGTTTAGGTGCTCTAGGTTTTCAGTAAATACACTTGAAACCAGTTTAACTGTGTCAGATTCAGGCATTTTAAAGCTACATTTATCTCTTTTTTAGATTATTATTAAGGAAATCTTAGCTTAACGGGAGGACATGTTATTTTGAGGGTGTTTGGGATTCATTTTCATGTAAAAATGCACTTTAGAATAGTAAATTGATGGGAAATGTATGGTTGAAAAATGAGGAAAAGTTTTTGATCTACGTGTAATATTATTTTAATAAAGAATGTGTGGTTGAAAAGAAGAGAGGGAAAAATACGTTTTGAAAAAAATGAGTACCAAACGGGGCCTTTATTTTACTTTCTACTCGGAAGTCTGGTTACTAACCCTCCCCCCCCCCCCAACCCATCGCCACCACCAAGTAAAGGAGAACAAAGTAGAAAAGAGTGTTCTACAAATTCATGCTTTTGATATCTCGAGACACGGAACAGACTAACCTTTTTGATTCTTGGTTGTTTGCATTGTAGCTTTGCACAAACTTGCTCTTTTGAACATGGAGGGTTGCCCTGTTACTGCTGCTTGCTTGGAGTCTCTTTCAGGTTTATCTCATGATTGTTGCACCTCTATGAAATACGTTGTCCTATTATGGTGAATCGTCTAGAGGATAAAGAATTGATTTATCTTACCCGACTTCAATGAATGCTAAAATTATCTACAGATTTAGGAAGTTGCATATCATTAATAAGAATCGTGTGAATTTCTTCTAAGTCAGTTTTTCTTTTTTATTTATGTAATTTTTGGTCATGCAGATCTTGGTGCTTTATTGTATTTGAATCTGAGCAGATGTAATAATTTGACTGACGATCGGATTGACAAGTTTTCAAGTGAGTCTTATCCAAATATCTGCATTCTTTCGGATTGAATTTTAAGCCCCATTTGATAAGAATAAAGTTCATTCATAATTTTTAGCAATAGAGAGTTGACACAAAGTGGAAGTTAACCTTTTGCGTGTTGTTTTTAATTCAGAGCTGCGAAGTCTGAAAGTGTTGAATCTAGGGTTTGATGACGTCTCTGATGCCATTTTGACACACCTGAAGGGTGAGAGTCCTTCCTATTTGTTTTGAAATGATGTGGTAAAATCAATCTCCTTCTCCTTGAACCTGACAGGAAGAAAGGAAAAACGTGGTAGAAAAAGCGAAAAAATCAAAGAATTCTTTTCCTTTCTCTAAATTCCATGAGCTTTGTTGAGGGAGCTCAAGTATTTGAACTGTCGTTTTTCTTTATTAAAATTAATTCTTCCAGCACAATATAGGTAGATGAATTTTTTCAATACTTGGGCTGCTTTCTGTGAACGCTCTGCTGCTCCGGAGCAATTGCATTCTATTTGGTAAAATTTCATTGATGAAATGGTAATCAGTTACCCTGCATTTGTAATGAAGAAATCTAAAGAGTGAAAAATATGAATTGAGATATCTAGGAAAATGTCAATAACTAACATGCCACCACGCTTCGTCCTGAACATCTTCAAAGTCAGATTCCCATCATTGTAGGAGGGGCAGGGCATTGCAAGGTGGTGCTGGTGAGGCGGTGCAGAGGCTGTTGACAGGCCTTATTTCATTTTGTACATTTTAATGTACCTTCATTAAACTAAGGGCACTGTAGTCTTTTAACTAGTTGAGAGGGCTTAACCACTTAGAGAAAAGGTGATTTCTGTACAGGAACAAATCCACCTATTTCCTAAATAGTTCAAATAGTCATAAAGCTCTTGCTAGCATAATAAGGTTTACTCTTTAGATTTCCAATATGGCTTTCTCAGAAAATTTATATGAAGCGCTCCTTCATTAATTTGGCACCACTTTCTGCTTTAAATTTAACCTGAAGGTTGTCTTCATAGAATATGTTAGGGCACTTGGTTTATCTGAGTGTTCTCCTTTATATTGCAAGTGATTCTAACATGTATAAACATTTTTATTTCTTCAGATTTAACAAATTTGGAGAGCTTAAACCTGGATTCTTGCAGGATCAGTGATGAAGGCATGGTTAATCTTGCAGGTGAATTCTGTAACATAGTTTATATGTTGCTGTGTATTTTTGTAAAGAAAAAAGGGACCTGCTGCTTCATGTTTGTTGACTCTTTCTTCTCTTCTGGTGTCTGAGATTCAGGCCTTCATCGTCTCAAATGCTTGGAATTGTCTGATACCCAAGTCGGAAGCAGTGGATTGTGCCATCTCTCTGGTTAGACATAAGCCTTATGCTGACAGCATAAAAGGATATTACTAATAAATGGTAGCTTTTTTGTCATGCATCTGTTATTTGTGCACTCAGATAGCAATTTTGATTTCATATTCATCATCATTCACGACACGTAGAGGTTAATGCAATTTCTTTGGAGAAGTATTTCTGATACTTATTCTTTACATTCCTTCTGTTGCAAAAATATTTTGCTTCCATTGTTTACATATATGCTTACAGTTAAGGAACGAGAGGTGCGTCTCCCAAATGGAATAAGATGCAGAATGTTTATCTCATGGAAATGAATTTTAGAAGTTATAACTGTTTTACATTAAAAAAAAAATGTAGGACTTGCCAAGTGACAATTCTCAGACACGCTCCTTTTATTCGGATTCAATTGATCTGACACTGTCCCTTTTTTTCCCTAGGTCTAGCTAATTTGGAGAGTTTGAATCTTTCCTTCACTGCTGTCACTGATGGTGGTTTGAAAAAGTTGTCTGGGTTATCATCTCTAAAATCCCTCAACTTGGATGCACGTCAAATTACGGACGTTGGCCTTGCAGCTCTTACAAGTTAGCATTGTTCAGATTGTTGCACAGTGTATATGATTGGTGGAAAATCTGTATTTTGTTTAATTGGTTGTTTAGATTGAATACTTGGTATCAGTGTCCTACTGAGATTCTCGCATATTGTTTGCTAGTTTACTAAGTATCGAACATTACTTCTTACAAATTCTCTCGTCTTCCAAATTCTCTTGTTTTTTCATTCATGTGTCAGTCTTTTTCTCTGACCCGAAGACGATCTTTCAGTACTTTAAGTTCCATCCATTTAGCTAAATATTGTCTCTCTCTCTCTCTCTCTCTCTCTCTCGCAAACCTGATAATATTTATGAAGACAACCATGCCCTTAGCTGCACATTTGAATTCTTATCTCCTTTTTATTGTTAGTTGTACTTATAATACGATCCGTGGTTAAGATCAGCTACATGCAGTGGAAACGTGCCCAAAGTTATTGTTGTCCATTATTTCTTCATAACTTGCTGATTCTCTTAATGCGCAGGTTTGACTGGATTAAGTCATTTGGATCTTTTTGGAGCTCGCATTACTGATTCTGGAACAAATTATCTGCGATGTATGCTGAGAAACCAACTCTGTTACTTGTTTTAAGTTGGTTATTTCTATAAGTGCATTGTTGAGTCCACCAGTTACGGTATTTTCTGTTCCAATTTGCGGATTACTTGAAGTTATATTTCTGGCTCTTTGCGTTGAGAAGTGAAAAAGGAGTTACGGGATTATTGGGGCTATAACATTGTTCAGGAAAGCT